TAAACTTTAGTTATTTGACTGAAAAAATTGGCTGACCAAAAATACTTGTAAAAATGACAGTAACAAAACCCAAAACATACTATTTACATTATAATTATGTATGCTTTATTCAATTTTAAACACGTAATTAAATTTAAAATAAATCATTGTCGAAAACAGATATAAAACATAAACAATAGTTAATAAACTTACACCAGTAGGGTAACCATAACCACCGCCAGGTGGTGGATAAGCCATAATTATATTTATGTGCTGAAAAAGTAGTACGATATAATAATAACAATAATAATAACATTTTTTCAAATCAGAATATCAAATACAAATCAGCATACTTTAAACCTCTAAAACATTAACAAAGCATTTGACAACATCATTAACTGAAAAGAATTGCCAGTTATGCCTGTTATGTTACTTTTGTGTTGTTCTTAATGCAAAGTTATATTATGCCATTAAAGTTAAAAAAACTGTTAAGAAGTTTAAAGATTTTACTAAGACAATTCAACTTTTACTATAAGTTTCTTATACTAATTAAAAAAATATATATCAGAATGTTAGGTTTTAACAGCTGTGAATATATTAAATAAGTTTTTAAAAACATCAGTTTTACATGATTAACTGTTTCTTAGGGTAGTTTTTCCAATGCATAAATAATTATTGAGAATTTGAACTTTAATGCATTAAAAAATCGTTTTGCAAAGTCATTAAGTTATGCTCTTGCGTCCAATATTTTCGTAAGTCACTTTTTCACTAGAATGTTGTGAATCAATATTTTCAATACCTTTATTAAATTTAAAAAATTGAATTACATCGCCCTAATACCTCTCTTATGTTATTAATATCAGGAGTCTTTGTATTTCAGAATTTTTATTACTTATTTATTTTTGCTACACTAGGCATATTACTAGTTACATCTAATTATATAGTACTTATTTTACATCTATTTTTGTAGAACTCAAGACAAAGGCTTATTAAATCATAGCTGTGTAAAATAGTTTCATAGAATTCTTATTGAGATGTTTAGAACTGAACATCTCAATAAGAACAAGATCTATTGATATCACAACAACCAAGATTAAACTAATCAATGCTAGCACCTACACTAATATCAGCCACCTCATACAAGTCTAGAGTTTTTTGTTCCAATAAACATAATCTTAAATTTTCCAATAAGATGGTTTAAATTGCCTTTTAATTTTTTCATTTTCAAATTGGCTCCTAATCTCTGATGTCTATTTTATGTAATCTGCTTATACCATAAACTGTTAAGAAAAATTTACATTCTAAATCATTTATTATTAATAAAAAAAAAAATAATGGTTTTTTCATGAACTTTACTCTCATATCTTTTTTTATAATAAATCTAGAATCTAGAGGTTTTTTGCATCAATTAGTTTGACTTAACTTCTTTCCAACCATATATAGAAATATGGCTTCTTTTATATATTATTCATGTTTTGGACACATTTTTTCAAAGTAGTTTTTCAAGGTAAGATTTCCAAAACCCATCAAATTTGTTTGAAAATTTCTATATAGATGAAAAAAAGGATAAGGAATTTAGTAGATTGGTAGCCTTTTTAACATTTAAACATAATTTCTAAGCTCTCAGCATTTAAAAACTTTAAAGTTGGTTCATTAAAAAAATTAATTTTTTTTTCTTTGTGTATTGTTTGTTTTGATTTTTGTGCTTGATTTTTAATGTTTTTTTCTTTTATTTTGGTGCTATTTTATCGTAAATTTTTTGAGTTTCTCAAAAATTGATCAGTTCTACCAACACAAAAAATGCAATAACTTTAGATCCAACTAACTTCTAAAGTTGAATGACCCTTCATTTTCAAAGTCTTTTTAAGCTTTATACAACTATGCTGATCATATATAATTATATTGACAAAAAAAAAATCATGTGAAATGGCTATACATGGTATAGATATAATTGAGACAGGTGTATTTTACAAGGTTACTTTTAATATAGATATAATTGAGACAGGTGTATTTTACATGGTTACTTTTAGAACACTTATTGAAAAAATTATACAATTTATTTTATTTTATAAATAAAATGTAAATTGCAAAAAATGCAAACTGAAAATTAACTTTATATAAAACTAAACATATTACACAAATTTTGACTAAAATTATGATTTAAATACGTACGTATTTTAGTCAACAAAAACGCATTTTAGAACACTTACGTGTTCAATATAAAAAAACAATAAAAACTGCCACCTAAAACTCCAAGTTAAAGCGAAACTGAAAACAAGGTTTTTTTTAAACACTTAAGTTTTCGTTTTTTCTGTAATTTAAAGCAGCTTCATACAACATCCAAAAGCAACTACATAAATAAAAGGAAGATATATTTTGAACTTTCATTTTGTTAAATCAGATCTAAAAGATGTAGAAAACACACCCGATGTTTTGAAACGTTTAGAGCTTTTTACCTTATTTTCGGCGAACTCAATAGCTTAGGATTATATGACTCGTTCCAGTCTATGTTCCGCCTAATAAAGTTCGACTCGCTTAGTGCGTTGTGGTAAGTACTGTTGATGGGTTATTGATGGGTTTGTTTCTGTAAACTTGGCTCACTACGGTAGAAAAGTTTATTAATCTATCAGTTTTTGTAGTTTCTAAAAAGGTCCATAAATCAAACACATAGCAGTTACTATTTATGAATTGGCAAACAGCTTGCAAAATTAAAACATAAATGCATTATCTTTTATTAAAAAAAACAACAAAAAATTATCAATTTTTAAATCAAATACCAAAATTATTACCTTTAATACTTATCCCAATACTGTTAACGTCAATTTGTATTACTTTTAATACAAATCATTACTGTTAACGTTTCTAATGATTTTGTGTTTGAAACAGATAAGATTCAGCCTTAAGTTAAACTGCATTTTAACTCTTAAATTTTGAAGCTGTACATTTTAATTCTTAGATAAAATATGTCCTTTACTAGAAAGTTACTAAAAATTTATTTAGGTTATCCAGTTACTAAAATGTTTTAATTAACATATATATATATATATATATATATATATATATATATATATATATATATATATATATATATATATATATATATATATATATATATAATTCATTATTTTGAACTTCAATAAAAATAGGTGTTTTGTATAAAAAGCATAAATCATTATGGTAGGTATTAAATGCATAGTTATGGTTTTTAAACATCCAGAGAAATTTTTTTGTTTGTATTTGGCTAATATGAGTTTAAAACAAAGGAATGTTGAGCAAGAAAATAAATAAAAAATTTTGATTTTTTTATCTCATTATCTAACTATAATGGTTTATTAACTGATTATGATCAACACTTAAACTCAGTTTTTATTAACTGAGTTTAAGTATAGTTTTATTTGTATACTCAGTGTAGTTAAGGCGAATTACAAAATATTTGAATTCTTTTATTTGAAATTGGCATGGTTTTATCAGCGTATTAAGTCCAAACAAGAGCTTTAAATGATAAAATTTTTTTTTTGCTTCAGGTTTTTTTAATATTTAAAGAAACTTTTCTTTTTTTTATGTAATTTTCAAAACCTCTTTACTAACTGTAATAGTGAATCTAAAGAACACCATTTTGGAGTCTTTAGATCAATTCCACTCATCGGAATTAACATGAATTTAGTTAAAATCTTTTGAAAAGTTCCTTAATTTACTTCTGATCCTAGTTCTAATCGGTTCTGACATAGTAACTATAAATAGGTGTCAAAACACAATATTTCTATCAGTTTTCACAAAAAATACTAGAATTCCGACCAAGAAAGACCTTATAATTAAAAAAAATTGTCAACAAGTGATCAGAACAGATCGTATTTTAAAACTATAATGTTCATTTCATCTAAAAAACGTATTTATTTAAATTTTTATAAAAATTTGGACAAGCAATTATGACTATAAGAAAATTAAAAAAAAAAAGAGTCTTTGGTCTGAGTTTTTCGCTATAAGCATTTTATGATACTGCAAAATTTATCATTTAACTTTTTTTTCATCTTTTAATAATTCACAGAACTGATCATTTAACGGAAACATGTCACAGTCAACAATATACCATATAGACGCTATAATATTTTAAAATTGCTTTAACTACACCGAGTAGATCGTTATGACGACATATGACACAAGTTGTTTTTTTTGTTCTTTATTTTTTTAAACTGTAAATTTTATTTTCATTATACCCTTTACTTTTAAATTTCCAAAAAAATTTTGAAAGTAAATGTATAATGCCATAATAAATTTTAAAATGTTATCACTTATAGTCAATTTTGTAGCCTCAGACATATTGCAAACATTGACTAGATACTAATTAAGCTATTATCATATGTAATAAAAAATGTTTAATACAAAATTAGACTCAAGGTAGTATAGTATGAAATGTCATTTAAGTATATTAGTTTAGCAATTTTTAATTTATTAACTTTTTTTGCAGAAACATTAAGATTGTTATTAAAGTAATATATGGTTAACTGTTATTAAGGTAGTATATGATAAATCATTAAAATAAACTATAAAATTAAATAGAAAAAAATTTCCTAAACAAATGTTTCAATCTTACAAAAAATGTAGTTTAAAAAAAAAAATATATTATATTAAAAATATTGTTGATTTTAAAGTATTCTTACTTTTTAAAGGTTTGTTTTTTCAATTTTATATATAGATTATTAATGGAATCACAGGAAACATTAAAAGATCTTGATTTACAAGATAAAGGTACAACAAAAGATCTTGATCAATGGATAGAACAACTAAATGAATGTAAACAGCTCACAGAAAACCAAGTTAAAACTCTGACTGATAAGGTTTGTTACTTATTATACTTATTAATGTTATTAAAATTATTAAATACTTATTAATGTAAAACTAAAAATGTTGCTAAAAAAATGTTATCCTTCCAAAAATTTGCATATTTTATTATAGAAATTGCTGTTAATAAATAATTGTTATTATTAGTAATAACTGATAAACCATGCTGGTATTAATTTTGACTTGTTTTAGTGGCAATAATATGAGGTATTCTTTTTTATCAGGCAAAAGAAATACTGGCGAAAGAATCTAATGTGCAAGATGTCAAATGTCCTGTTACAGTATGTGGAGATGTTCATGGTCAATTTCATGACCTAATGGAATTATTTCGTATTGGGGGGAAATCTCCAGACACAAATTATTTATTTATGGGTGATTATGTAGATAGAGGTTACTATTCTGTTGAAACAGTCACTCTACTTGTTGCTTTAAAGGTATTTAGTTTAAAAAACATGATTTTATTTTTTATCCTATATAGTTGTGTTTTAGTAATAATTTTTATGTCATAAAAATATAATTTTCCAATATCTATTTATATATATATCAAGGCTCGAATTAAGCGTATCGCAAATCGTGATTGCTTTTTACATCTTTGCGATTATTTTTTTTTTAAAACATATATTTTCGCGATTGGTTTACTTTTTTAGTTGTTTATTTACTATTTTTCTAATTTAGCTTTTTTTTTGGCAATTCTTAAAAGTAATGTTTTCAAAGCAAAGTATGTCACGCAAAGTTAGTCTTTTGAATAGAAGTATGATCATTTGCTTTTGAATAGAAGCATGATCATTAGTTTTGGAATAGAAGCATGATCAATTGCTCTTTCGCGCGGAGATTTTTATTCAAACTACTTTAATCTCTGCGTAGAAGCAAATTAAAAAGATAAAAGTTAAAAATAATTTTTTCTTTATTCTATTTTTTTGCAAAACAGCATTTTTATCTTTTTTTAAAACAAACGTTGCTTCAAATTAACTTAATAATAATGATTTAAATTATTATTTTATAAACAGTTTTATATAATTATTTTTACTACTTTAAGTATAATAAAATATATATTAATTTGTTTTTATTAAATAAAATTTCTATTAGTAAAATTGTGCTGAAAGAAACCAGCAACTCTTTTGCTTTCACATTTTTTGCTTTAACGACCTTGAAACTATTGAAGTTATATTTAGTTAACTTTACTGAATGGATAGAGTATATTACTGTAAATTAACTTATAACCTAAATCAAAACAACCAGTTAAGTTAAGATAATAACTTACAGTTACTCAAGTATTAGTTTAACACTTATATTAATTTATTTAATATACTCGCAAAAGTTAGCCATAGACATGTTTCAATTTAGATCTTACATGTTGTTAACACAGTATAAGCTTTTAACTAATAATTATTTTAATAAAAATTGTCGAATAGAATATGAAAAACGCGACACCATTTTTTTATATTTTCATTTTATTTATAGCGACATCTATACTAAACATTTTCTATTAATACGCAATTGTTTTCAGGAATTTTATTTAAAAAGAAATCAATTTAACAAGAGAACTTTAACTCACTTATTCAAATAATAAAATAAATAACAAATAAAAAATAAATAACAAGAGAACTTTAATTCACTTATTCAAATAATTTTTTGATTGAAATTTGAAATTTAAAAAAAATTAAAAAATTAAAAAAAAGTTTGATGAAACAAGAGATAAAAGAAGAAAGTTTTTTTTTCATAAATCGTTAAAATTTTTAATGTTTTGAATTATACATTTTTTCTTGAAAATAGTTTTAAAAGTAGAAACATTCTATTGTTAACATCAAAGCAGTGATTGCAAATTAAAATAAAAATTATAAAAATTTTAAATTAAATTTAATAAATTATTTTACTTCTGTTCGAAAAAATTTTTTTTTAAAAAATAATTTAAGCATATTCTTATACTTAATATAATTCGATTTATTAAACAAAATCTTTTGTTTCACTTTTTTTTTGGAAAACAATTAGAATAAAAAAAAAATTGAATGAAAACATCAGTTTTAAAACCATTTGAATAAAAAACTTAATTATACTTAAATTTTGATTCGTACGCTTGATCGGGAAACAATAATTTATATAACTAATGTTTTTATACTTTGATCTTACTTGTTTGGTCCATATATTGTAAACTCATATAGGTCTATAGGCGCAAATATGAAGTTTTGTTTTAGTTTATTAACTAGATCAATTTTATTTATTTGCTTCCTTTTATTTTAAACGTGTTTTATTTTATAAATTGTATAAATCAACACGAAACAGCGTCACAAATTTGTTTTACATTAACCCAAGCTCTTTATATTTTTAAAACAACTTTACAGTTTGTTTTTATGTTGTTTTATAGCTTTTAATAATTAAATGCTTTTTAAAATTCACACGTGTTTTAACGTCAGTACGAATGTATAAAATAGTTTTCTTTGTCTAGTTAAAGTGGTTTAGATATTGCAATGTTGCTTTTTCTCTTACTTTTTTACTTTTACTTTTTTAACTGCAACTTAAACTTTAAGTTCTAACTTAAGTTGTAAATAATAACAGTTACTTACGCTATTTTAAACTCTGCCCAACAAGATAATTATAAGATTATATTTAAATATGAGAGATAATATATTAAAAGTAGAACAATTATGTACCAAAGTTACAATTATATACTAATGCAACTTCCCTCCTCCCCCCATCTCCCATTACCGCAAAGAAGCGCTAGGTTTAGGGGGGAGGGGATGATAAATTTTTTTTCTTTTCGCGATTAAATTTTTTGCATTAATTCGAGCCCTGTATATATATATATATATATATATATATATATATATATATACATATATATTCATATATATATATTCATATATATATATATATATATATATATATATATATATATATATATATATATATATATATATATATATATATATATATATATATAATAATTCACCTCCTCAAGGCCGAGAAGGCCACTACAGACGAGGAGGCTACTTAATTATGGTTATAACCCTCTCTCAACTCTATAACTCCGAAACACGAACCTTGACGAGCAAGGCCGCTGCGCGGAGAAACGAGTTTAGCGCGGTACTACCAAGGACGTAGTGGGGATCGAACTCGGAACCACTCGTTTATGAAGCGAGCGCTCTACCACTACACCACTACCGCATATATATATATAGATAGATAGATAGATAGGTAGGTAGGTAGATATATGTATATATATATATATATATATATATATATATATATATATATATTATATATATATATATATTTGTTTATATTCTAATAAATAAGACAACTTTTTTAATTTTTGTTTAAATTATTTATTTTATAATACATGTTTCGACTATATCATAGCCATCATCAGTTAAATTATATTAAAATGCTTAAATTGATTGTTAAAATTAAGTTATACTAATAGAGACCTTGTAATAAAAATACAATAAAAATGCAATTAAAAAATGTAACAAATGTTTTAAAAAAGATAAAAGAACTGGTAATGTTAAAAGGAACTAGATTGAAATTGTCATTTTTACATGGTTCATTTGTTTATTAATAGTGGGTTTTTCCCACTCTATGTATATGCTTTCTTTGAGTTTTAATATAAATTTGTTGGAGGCCAAATCCAAGATTGAAAAATTAGGATGATTAAAACTATTTAAATAGCTTTATATATTTATATATACATATATATATATATATACATACATATATATATATATATATATATATATATATATATATATATATATATATATATATATATATATATATATATATATATATATATATATATATATTTATACACACACATGTACGTTGCACCGCATATACCGCGAAATTCCCAATGAGTTTATAATTCCCAAAATTCAATTAATTTTTTTTTTATAAGTAGTAAAACAATATCAATGAAAATTCCCAAAAAATAAATAATATTACGTTTAAAATTTACGTTTAAAATTTACGTTTAAAAAATTTAAGTAGTAAAAAATATATTCCTGGTTAACACTCCAGTATATATATATATATATATATATATATATATATATATATATATATATATATATATATATATATATATATATATATATATATATATATATATATATATATATATATATCAGGCCTTGTTACGAGATTTCGCTGCGTAACGGAAAAGCTGAACGTGAATAAAAGTAACTTTGCTCAATAAAGATATTTACATTGTTAAAAGTTAATTTACGTCAGTTGCGTTTTTACTTCATTGTAATTAAATTTAAAATGACATTAAAAACTATTGTCAGTCTTTGAAACGAAATAGCTTTAAATTGTACAATGTTGTTATAAAAAAAAAAAAAATCAATGTTGGTTAAAAAAAAGTCTTCTTGTATTAAAATCTTATACTTATTTAAACTTAATTTTTTTGCTTTTAAACATTCGTTTTATGGTTGTTTTTTTTTTATTTTTTTTTTTTAAATAATTTAAATTTAACACTTGTTTATGGTTGATTTTCTTAAAGGGATTTAAATGTACTTATAACTAAACGCATAGATTGGGTTTTCCCTTTAAAAAAAAAACGTTTGTTTTGATAAAATAAATGTTGTAAAGAAATGAAATTTACTGCTTTTTCGGCTTTATTTTTTTTTTAATTTCCATTAAACTATTTTATTTTTATGTACAGTGAAACCTAATATTTTTTTTCTCAATCCAAAAAAAAAAAGTGTTTTCGGTTTTCAGATGTTATAAGCAGAATTTGTTTTTAACAAATATCATTATAATTTTGAAATTTATGTATCTTATATTTATAGCTCAAGTACTAGTTTTGTTTTTAAAATAAAATAAAGATAAGTTGGGTTTTTAAAGAGTTTATTTACTGATCACGTTATTTTTAATAGGTTTGTATTTTAGTTTGTTCAAGGACGTATTGTTAATACGTCCTTGGTTTGTTGTATAAAAAAAAATTCTTTGGCAAACGGCAAAGGGAAAACCCAAACATAACATTTATAACTCGAGTTTAAAAGTATTGACGTCATTTATTAACTTGTAGTTATAAAATGAATAATACGCTTCTGTAAATAATGAATGAAACTGTAAAATAATGGAAAAATAAAAACTGGAAAATAATGCGCTTTTGTAAGCGCATCTTTCCGACCAGTATTTGGAACTTACCTGAAACTTAACTAAAATTAAAATAAAGTTATATGTAATACGAACATTTTAAAGTAACTTGAATTAAATTTATCAAATCTTTTTTTACTTTGGTAATTTTATAAAAAAAACGGAGCATTTTAAAATTAAAAAATTTTAAAATGCTCTGTTTTAAAATTAAATAAAAGAATTTTAATTAAATTTAATAAATTTATTTACTAAAAACTATAATTATTAAAAAAATATTTAAATTTAATAAAATAAATTGAAAATATTTCTTTTTTTAAATTTGATTGTTTATAAACTT